TAAGTAAATGGAGAAACTTGAATACAACATTTTAGCACTAATCTTGAACCCAACAGTTCCCTTCTTTTTTTTCCATCCTTCTCTCCCCCTTCAAGCCTTATCTTCCAAAAATCAAGTAGAGGTTAAGGACCCTCGGAAAAGGAAAGAAACCACAATGGAAATGATGATTACTAAAGTGAAAGAAGGGTAGGACAACCCAAAAGATAGTAGGTACCCCCCATTACATTATTATTATCCTACTGATTCAAGGAAGGCTGCAAAAGTAACTTTATATATATATATATGTATATATATATATATATATATCAAAGAAAAAGAAAAGAAAACACTTATCAAGGGAAGACTTAAAAGAATAATGGTGACTAAAGCTCTAAATTGATGGGTGATAATGCATACCTCACTAACGGGACTAAAAAACCTTGATGCGCACGAAGCAGGAAAAAGGGAAAGATTTTCGGGTATTACAATCTTTCCCACCTTGGGTTGAATTTCGTCCTCAAAATTTTCGTTTACTTGAAAAGGTGAGGGTAACGCCTCTTCAAATCCTCTTCCGCTTCCCATGTTACGTTTGACCCTTGGTGATGTTTCCACTGCACTTTAACCATGACAATTTCTTTGTGTCTCAACACCTTGCTCTTCCTTTCCAAGATGGCTTCCGGTTCTTTAACACACTGGTTGTTCTCGTCCATATGAATTTCCGAAAGCGGAATAACACTTTCCTCTTCCGCTAAGCACTTACGAAGGTAACATACATGAAATGTGTTATGGATCCCGGCCATTTCTGGTTGTAGTTCTAATTTATAAGCTTGAAGTCCCACTCTATCCAAGACTTTAAATGGTCCGAGGAAACGGGGGGCTGAGTTTCCCACGTTTTCCAAAACGGATAACTCCCTTCCCACGTTTTTCACCCGCTTCTAACCAACATACCGGAGTCCTACACTTCCGTCCATACAAGGCCTCGAAGGATGCCATCCCTATACTGGAATGGTAACTGTTGTTGTAGGCGAACTCCACTAGGGGTAAGTGAGAATCCCAATTTCCGCCAAAGTCAATAACGCACAATCTAAGCATGTCTTCGAGCGTTTGAATGGTCCGCTTATTATGGCCATCAGTTTGAGGATGGTAAGCTGTACTCAATTTCACTCTCGTGCCCAACTCTTTCTGTAAGCCACCCCAGAAATGGGAGGTGAATCGACTATCCCTATCAGACACTATTGACAATGGTATACCATGCCTCGAAACTACTTCATCGATGTATAATCTGGAAAGTTTGTCCATTGGCAGCGATTCTCACATTGCTAAGAAATGAGCACTCTTTGTCAGTCGATCGACCACTTCCCATATCGTGTCATGGCCTTTGAGAGTCTTCGGCAGTTTGGTTACGAAGTCCATGGTAATATGCTCCCATTTCCATTCGGGAATCTCCAAGGATTGAAGACTACCATAAGGTCGTTGGGCTCTGCCTTCACTTGCAAGCAAGTCACGCACCTCTCCACATAACGAGCCACATCCAACTTCATTACAGGCCACCAATATATCAGTTTCAAGTCCCGATACATCTTGGTGCTACCTGGATGAATGGAGTATTTGGACTTGTGCGCGTCTTCTAGTAACAGCTCGCGATTGCCTCCAATCTTGGGTACCCAAATACGCCCTTGAAACAACTTCATGGCCATCCTCTGACAACAGTAAGCGTTGTTTCATAATTACTTCACTCTTGAGGTTCTCTTCTAAGAGTGCTTCAGATTGCGCCACCTTGATCCGATCAATCAAACTGGACACTATATCGATCCTGGTGAGCACAACTTTTGTCCCACTACCATACTCCTTCCAGCTCAAAGCATCCGCCACTACATTTGCCTTACCCGGATGGTATAACAATTCACAATCGTAGTCTTTGAGCAGCTCAAGCCAACGACGTTGTCTCATGTTTAATTCTTTTTATCAAAAATGTATTTCAAACTCTTATGATCAGTGTAAAGCGTGCACTTGGTTCCATAGAGGTAATGTCGCCAAAGTTTTAAAGCGAATACCACCGCTGCCAGCTCCAAGTCGTGGGTGGGATAATTCTTCTCGTGATCCTTGAGTTGTCTGGATGCGTATGCTATAACCCTTCCCCTTTGCATCAAGACACAACCCAATCCCATTTTAGAGGCGTCGCTAAAAACTACGAAGTCTTCGGATCCTTTTGGCAAGGAGAGGACCGGGGCTTCACACAATTTCTTTTGGAGAGTTCTAAAAGCATACTCTTGCTTCTCTGTCTAGATAAACTTCACATTCTTCCTAGTCAAAGTTGTCAAGGGAAAAACGACCTTGGAGAAATCTTGGATAAATCTCCTGTAATAACCTGCCAGACCCAAGAAACTTCGAATTTCTGACGGATTCTTTGGTGGCTCCCAGTTCATCACCGCCTCGATTTTGGATAGGTCCACCTTTACTCCGTCTTGAGTGACAACGTGACCCAAGAATTGGACCTCTTTCAGCCAAAAGTCGCACTTGGAGAATTTTGCATACAGTTTCTCCTTTCTTAACACTTCGAGAACTTCTTGAAGGTGCTGCTCATGATCCATCTCGTCCTTGGAATAGACGAGTATGTCATCAATGAACACTATCACTGACTTATCAAGGAACGGTCAGCATACTCGGTTCATCAAGTCCATGAATACTGCTGGTGCATTCGTCAAACCGAAAGGCATAACCGTGAATTCATAGTGCCCATATCGCGTTCTAAAAGCTGTATTCGACACATCATCTTCTCTCATTCAAACTTGGTGATACCCCGAGCGAAGGTCAATCTTAGAGAATCAACTTGCTCCCTGAAGTTGGTCAAAAAAGTCGTCTATCCTAGGAAGAGGGTATTTGTTTTTCACGGTTGCCTTATTGAGCTCTCTATAGTCAATACACATCCTCAAGGTGCCGTCTTTTTTTTACAAATAAAACTGGAGCTCCCCACGGTGATGAACTCAGTCTGATAAATCCTTTCTCCAGAAGGTCTGCAATTGGGACATTAACTCTCGCATCTCGGATGGCGCCAAATGGTAAGGGGCTGTAGCAATTGGAGCGGTTCCCGGAAGGAGGTCGATCCAGAACTCCACTTGTCTAACGGGTGGTAATCCGGGTAGGTCTTCAGGGAAAACATCAGGAAATTCATTTACCACTTTCACATCTTCAATTCTTCTTATCTCTAGCTTGGTATCCAATACATACGCAATAAATGAGGAACATCCTTTAGCTGGGCACTTACGTGCCTTCGCTATGGATAAGAGTACTACATTCCCTTTCCTTCCTTCTCCATAAGCTAGCACCGCATTCCCACCCAACAAAGGAATTATCAGCTTCTTAGAGCATAAGATTTCCGCTTGGTTCTCAACTAGCCAATCCATCCAGATTATGATATCGAATCCGCCTATAGCCATGGGTATGAGGTCCACCCGAAATTCCTTTTCCTCAATCCCCAAAACGCAACCTCTAACAATTTCATGCACCAAAACTTGACTACCATTCGCTATCTCTATAATTAACGCATCTTCTAGTGTACTAGGCGGCATAAGCAAATGTTGATAGAATGAAGTGGACATAAAGGAACATGAAGCTCCCAAATCAAAAAGTACGTGAGCAGGTATGGAGTTAATAAGGAACGTACCCGACACCACATCTGTCGCCGCCTTGGCTTCTTCTCTTGACATCTGAAAGGCTCGACTGGTTGATTTCGGGGTGTTCTCTTTTCTTCCTTGACTCCCACTTGATTTCAACTTTTGGCAATCGTTCTTGAAATAGCCTGGCTCCCCGCATCAAAAACATATGGTCCCCTTGATTGGACACTCGTTCCGTGTATGGCCTGTCTTCCCACACTTAAAGCATTTGGTGGGGATAAAGTTGGTGCTACACGGGTCGTGATGTTTACTGCGGCATTTGGGACACCATCTAGCCTCTTGCTTGGGGTGGGCTTCACGATTTTTGCTGCCAAAGTGGTTTGGCTTCTTGGATGGTGTGTAAGGCCCTTCCCACTTCCTCTTCTCCCCACTCGACAATTTTTCTTCTTTTCCCTTAAAATAAACTGATTCCAAGACCTTGGCTTCTTCGATTGCCTCCCTGAGCCAAGCTCTAGAGTTCCTAACCATTACCATCATGTCTGCAGGTAGCCCTTTGAGGTAGGCCTTCATCTTATCTTTCTCTGTTGGGGCCACGTGTCCCACCAAGTTTAGCTTTTCCATGAAGAGTCGGGTGTAGTCCCTTACTGAAAAATTTCCCTTCTTAAGGGTTCGAAATTCTTCTTCGATGCGATCTATCTCTTGTTCATTGCAATATTCTTCCATTACTTTTTCCTTGAATGTGGTCCAACTCATCTTGGTCAATTCTGTAACCTCGATGGTTGAGATGACAATGTTCCACCAGGTAAGAGCTGCACCCCTCAGCATTTGAGAGCCAAACTTCACTTTTTGCCCCTCGTCACAGTCACAAGCCCGTAAGGCTTGCTCGATTTCCTGAAGCCAATTCATGCATGCCACAGGATCGTCCGACCCCATGAATTCCGGTGGCTTACAACATATGAAGGTCTTGTAAGAGCAAATTCTACCCATTTGTCTCACCTCAATCGTTGCTAGCTCCTGGGTTGGGATTCTATTTTTGGTATCCCCGGACCCCCCATAGTTACATTCTCGGCAACTACTTCATGCTTACAGTTATTAACGTCTCTGTCCTCCCAAAGCTTCATAAAGAATTCTTGTTGTTGAGCCATAGCTCTATTCATAACATTCATCATTGTGTCCATCATTCTTGACTCTGGGGTTTCCTTTTCAATTATAGGGTTAGTGGTGGCATTATCAATTTGGGGAGTCTGGTCAGCCACACCTCCCAAGATGGTGGTTCATGGTGGTTGATCCGCGGTCGATTCTGTCACGGCATGACCCTCTGGTGAGGTATCCCGTCTACTCCGAGTGTTCACCATAAAGGCTGAATGCAAGAGAGTGGAAGAGAGTTAGAATAGGAAGAATACGAAATTATCGTGACACGTATCGACACATTCATAAATTCTTGTAATAATAGTGAGTTTAAGCACGCTTATGCAACAACATACTCAAAATAGCATTAGCTAAGTGAAATTTCGAATACGTTATACATAAGAATCCTCAACACCGTCGTCACTATTCATGAACTGAGTAATCTCATTGACCCTAAACTTCTCTTATCTTAGAAGCTCCTACCCACCCCTCACAAATCTATATTTACAATAACAGTTTAAGTCTAGGCGTCATGATCTCGTACCTAGTTCACTTAAACTAGTGCTCTGATACCAACTTATAACACCCCAAAAAATGAAAATAAATAATAATAATAATAATAACACGGTAGGGGATAAATTTTATCCGACAAGCGAGCCGGAAGCTAGAATTTCAATTACAACAAAAACAAAAAGAATTACCCAACGAAAGGGGAAGGGTAAAGCGTTTACAAAACTAGAGGAAAAACGATAATTAACAACCTATTAATCTAAACAACTCTATGCCTAGATTAAAAGCGGGTGTTACTACCATCTCTAACAAAAGTGAAATCGACCAAAAATTTGTAAAGCTCGAAACACCCAGTGTTTTAACCACAAAAGACCTTTACGGACAACGATCACCTCAACCGTTGGGTACCCCGTCGCTAAAGGAACCTGATAAGCAAACCAATACGAGAAGAGGTGTTAGGCTTATGCCTAGTGAGTTCAAGGGTAAAAAGAATGCATTAACATGAAGAGCCTTTATAACATTATATATATATATATATATGTGTATATATATATATATGTAAGCATAAAAGGGCGTAACTTGAAACAGTTTTAAGGGGAACGGTAAGCCCAAAATGTAACGTGGTGGGACCAAACATCCGAAGATGACGGGGAGACCCGATTTCCGTTATTTATGACGGAAACACGAAGTAAGTCATAATCAACGTTATAGAGCATCACTTGTAGGTACAATACCATTGACATCAACCTAAACCAGTCATATAGTCGGTCGTGATCTTAAGCTTTTTATCTCGGAAATTACATAGTAATCGCAATGCCTATTTCCGAGCGGGGTGAGAGGGTGATTTGGAAATTACATAATAATCACAATGCCTAAATCCAACTTACATCATCCTTCACAAAATGAAATAAAACGACCTTCATACCCATAACCAGTACCTCTTAGTGGCATGCCTAAAACGATCACTTGAGCACATTGGTACTTATTCAACAATAAATTTTTTACATGAGTCCTCAATCAAAAGAGATGTTCTTCTTTACTAGATGGTAATTCTGTATGTAGATCATAAGAGGTCTTAAAGCTTTATGGCCTATCATTCTTATTTAGTGACAAAATCCATTCTCAACTCATCCTAACATAGTTATCGGAATCACCTAGATCATACACTTTTGATCTAAAACGTTTGTATCATCTAAGCATTTCGGTCTCAAAGGATTTAGAGTATATGACAAGTAAAAAAATACCATTACAATTTGTATAAGATTTCATAAAAGGTATGGAAAGATCTCACCTCGTAGGATTTAGGAAAAATCCCAACTTCTCAGGATTTACCGGTAGACGAAAGGAACTCGAAAACAGAAAAATTGTGACTTATAATATCAAGGGGCAGCATCTGAAACAGAATGTAGGAGTAGAGGGTCGGCAATTCGGAAATGAAACACTAACGCCCGCTCCAAGTGCGAAGTTAACGAAAAGACGATTCAACGGTGCCAGCTGTTGGTGAGATAACACGGTAACGGCACAGTCATGGCTACTGTATGCGCGACGCAGCAGCGAAAGACAGGTCGAAGAGGGTGACTGTTTGGTGAAAAAATACAGTAACAACACCGTTGTGGCTGCTGTTGCTGTGTGAAGAAGGACGGAGACATCAAGGCTGTAGCAATTGCTACCAGGTGAAGCTGCTGTTTCAGAATGGTGGAAGAGGCGAAGAAGCAAAGCAGTAGCAAAAGTTACCTGTTGTTGCTGTTGTTTCACGATGCACAACAGTGCCTGCTGCTGCCTGAAGCTGACCAAAAACGAAGGAGCCGCTGAGGGGGGTGCAAAGCGAACGGGGTCGCAGGCTCGGTGATGGTGTGGCCGGCGCTAAGGAAGGTCAATCCGGCGGTGGTTGCAGTTCTAGAAAGAGGGTCGATGCTCGGCAGCGGCTTCTACAGGTAGGGGGTTTATCTTCACTCCAAGAGAAGGAGACGGTTCTCTTTGTTCCCTTCTTTTTTTTTCCATCCTTCTCTCCCCCTTCAAGACTTATCTTCCAAAAATCAAGTAGAGGTTAAGGACCCTCAAGGAAGGAAAGAAACCACAATGAAAATGATGATTACTAAAGTGAAAGAAGGGTAGGACAACCCAAAAGATAGTAGGTACCCCCCTATTACATTATTATTATCCTACTGATTCAAGGAAGGCTGCAAAAGTAAGTTTATATATATATATATATATGTGTATATATATATATATATAAAAGAAAAAGAAAAGAAAACACTTATCAAGGGAAGACTTAAAAGAATAATGGTGACTAAAGCTCTAAATAGGTGGGTGATAACGCATACCTCACTAACGAGACAAAAAGCCCTTGATGCGCACGGAGCAGGAAAAAAGGAAAGATTTTCGGGTGTTACACATAGGTTTTAGAATGAAATTTCAACTGCTTACCCTCTTTCTTATTCAGAAACTTAGATTAAGGTTGAATTAATATATGTATATATATATATTTCAAAAAAACCCAAGAACATATTAATTCAAAACATATTATACAGTGCAATTTGGACAGCCTAACCCCAAAATATATAATATATAATAATATAATTAAGTCAAAAACTATTCAATATTGTACTCATTTCGTAGGTATTAACGAGACGATTATAATGGTGTAACTTGTTAAAATAAAAATATATTTTTTAAACATGTTTTAATTGATATACGATTATGTATGTTAATTTGATAAAGGTTTAAAATGAAACATTTAAAAGTAAAGGACGCAAAGTAAATTAATTAATTAATTATAGGGGTATAAAGTATAAATTTAAAATTATAATTAAAAAAACGGTTGTGAGAGGGTGAGTGTATGTAAGGAGATGAGGGGGTGAAAAAATGAGTATAAAGGGTATTTTGGTCATTTAGTATTTTAAGACTTTAAGACTTTTGCTAAATTTGCTTAATAAGATTAATTAATTATAGGGGTATAAAGTGTAAATTTAAAATTATAATTTTAAAAAAATCAGTTGTGAGAGGGTGAGTGTATGTGAGGGGGTGAGTGTATGTGAGGAGAGGAGGGGGTGAAAAAGTGAAAAAAGTGAGTATAAAGGGTATTTTGGTCATTTAGTATTTTAAGACTTTAAAACTTTTGCTAAATTTGCTTAATAAGGTAGTATAGATATATCAAACTAGGATAAATTAGTAATATTTTAGTTTATGTCTTATTCTTGTTCCATATTGTTCCACCTATTTTGGTGGAACAAGAAAAAGCCTTTTTGTCACATATTGTCTCACTTTGTCTCAGTTTTTGTCCATGTCCCATGTCGCGCCAAACGTAGGACAGTGAGTTCTTGTTTTGTCCCATGCTGAGCCAATTGTGGGACAATGAGTTTTGTCTCGTCATGTCCTGTCTCGCCCCATATACCAAACGCAACCTTATATTCGATCTTATTAATGACTGCTTAATATCTCTAACCAATATGGGTGTTGGCGGTCCTGTTTGGACGGTTTACCCCCAAACCACAATGACGGTTTAGAAAATTTCCAAATTGAGATCTAGTCTGACCTGTGTAGGCGATGTGGGTCTATTATTGTCTTTAAACTAAAAAACATAACATCTATATCAAAAATTAAATTTCTACCAATAAAACATTATTAAAAAATAGTATATCGAAATATAAAAGAAAGATTCATCTCTAAAAAGGGAAATTGCCCAAAATGACCATATTATACATGGTACGCTAACAAAATGACTATTTTTTAGAGTTTTTTTTCACAAAATGAGGGCGATTTTGACTATTTTGGAGCGATTTTGACTATAAGGTACGGATGAGTTCCACATGTATACCATAACAAAAATCAGATATTATATCTGATATATATGAAATCGCCCTCATTTTGTCCATGGGGCGATTTTGACCTCTATTCTGTCTTCTAGTGATGACAACTTATGACGCAACGATTTGATACATTAATGACGATTTGATACATTAATGACGATCGAGACATGGGGGGCGATTTTCATTGGTATTTTTTCTTTTTAGGACCAAATGTAATGTATATATAAATCATGTAGTATTCTCTATGAAATTGTAGTGATCAAAACACTTCTATTATCACAACCCTTAAACACAATCTACCATCACAACCCTTAACACAAATATGTAATCACGTCAAGGTGATAATGGTTCCATGTATGTTCAAAGTGGCGGGTTAAGAGTTGTGAGAGTAGAAGCGTTTTGATCACTACAATTTTATAGAAAATACTACAAGATTTATATATATATATATATATATATTACTTTTGGTCATAAAAAGACAAAATACCAATGGAAATAACCATCGATGTCTCATCAAATCGTCATTGATGTATGAAATCGTTGCGTTATAAGTTGTTTTCACTAGAAGACGGAATAGAGGTCAAAATCACCCCCATGGGGCGACTTTCACATGTTGAGGGAGATTTGCCCATTTTTAGATATAATATCTTATTTTTGTTTCTCAAATGGTATACATGTGGGACCTATCCATACCTTAT